AGGAAGGAAGGAAGGAAGGAAGGAAGGAAGGAAGGAAGGAAGGAAGGAAGGAAGGAAGGAAGGAAGGAAGGTCATACCTAGTACGCTGAGAACCAGATATTTTTCGCTCAGTCCATTTGAGACTGCAGGATTGAAAACTTCACAGGTATATGCACCAGTCTCTGATGCCCGCATGTTGAAAATGGTTATGGAGGCATTTCCAGGGCTGTTTGCACCTTGGATTCTGCCTCTAAACTCTCCATAGGAATACGACTGGCCTTGCTGAGAAAAGTAGATCTGCGGCACAAAACTGAAAGTTAACAAGATGGTCAGCAGATTTGGAGTTCTGAGCAGTCATTATTAGGGAACAAGCAGTTTTTAAAAATGTAAAATACCACTCCTTACTGAAGTGAGGTCTTTCTCTTTGGCGCTGTAAAAATTCCACTGAATTAACAAATCAGGTGCAACCATTTCTGTTCTGTATGTGCAGAGAAGAGTGATGTTCCCACCGACGGTTGTCTTCACAGTTTTTTCTGGAACCGTCACAACAACACACCACACAGGGCCTGTGGACAACAAGGTCAGCAGAGAAGAAGACAGCAGAGCAAGACACACAATGGAATTAGTGCTTTTTTGCCCTCTTTGCTTCAGAACGTCCTATTTTTAAGAAGAGAACACCAAAAACAAAGATATTAGTTGTTAAAATGGTGAGCTATGTCCCTAGGGTTGTGAGGTCTCCTCTGGCCACCGGACAGGGATGGAGGGTATTGGGTTGCCAGATCCAGGCTGGGAAACTCCTGGAGATTTGGGGGTGGAGCCTGGGGAGGACAGGGACCTCAGCGGGGCACAGTGCCATAGAGTCCACCTTCCAAAGGATCCTTTTTCCTCCAGGGGAACTGATCTCTGTACTCCGGAGGTGAACCGTAATTCTGGAAGCTCTGCAGGCCTACCCCGGAGGTTGGCAACCCCACTTGGTTTCAGCTGACAACCCCCCCCCCCCGCTTTTGAGCTGTGTAGTCCAAGCATTCAGAAAAGTGTTCAAAGGCTGAAAAATATCTGTAGCACAACAGGAAAAAAATAAAAATAAAAGTATGGATCAATTCCAACCTGTCATTTGATTTCTTCTCCTGATTTTGGAAACCCCAGTTATGGTGGTTGTGCTGCTGTGGTTGCTGCTGCTGTTATTTTTATCCCAGCCCTCTTCCAAGGAGTTCAGGGAACTTCTGTGTTAAAACTCTGCAAGGCTAGACCGCGAGGTAGTAACTGGACCAAGGTTACCCATTAATCTAAGTAGGGGTCTGGGGATCTGAACCTTGGTCTTCCTGGCCCAAGACCAACAGTCGAACGACCCATGCTCTGGTTAGGGTTTCCAGGTTCCCCCCCTCCACTAGCGGGAATAGGGGGTAATGTTGCCAGATCCAGGTTGGGAAACTCCCGGAGATTTGGGGATGGCGTCTGGGAGGACAGGCCGGCCCGAAGTTACTGTGGGGCCTCCCGGGGCCCAGCCCCCTGACTTCCTCCCAAGGACCCGACTTTTGGGGAGAAGTGGGAGGTGGCCCCGCACATGCCTGCACTCCAAGCTGCGAATTCGCGGCTTGGAGTGTAGTCCCTGCTTTCCCCCAAGTTTGAGTGCTTTGGGGGACAAGCGGGGGGCCATGCATGAATTTCAGTGCCCCACAACTTTTTTAAAGCCCCTGTCATGACCTCCTGGGGGTTGCCACCTTCAGCTGCCACCACTCTGGACTTTGGGTCCCTTGAAAAGGCCCAGAGTACCCTCCCAAGCCCATTCAAAATGCCCTTTTTAAGCCAAGAACATAGGCGTGATGACCAGGCAGAGAACAATTAAGCAAATGGTTCATTAACACAGTAATGGGGCAAGGAAAACCAGACAAGGTGCTTTAAAATATATAACAGTGTTTAAAGGCAAAAATAAACAAATCCAACGCGACTACCTAGTTCATTTAACTGGTTACTACTTCAAGGCCCACAGCCCTCTTATACCAGGCCTCCTTCCTATACTCACTCTGTCCCAAGTGAGGGATCTTTCTCTCATATCAGTCCCCTCAGTTTTACTCTGTGTGAGGCAAGACTGCAGAAGAACAAAGAACACAGTTTCATGGCCCACAAAGCTTAAATTCCAATCTCCTCACACAATCTCTGTACACCAATTGGCTACAACCGTCACGAAGCATTGTGGGGATTGTAGGCTGCCTTCTTTCCACCCCCACACTGGTCTCTTAGGGCCTACACAGATCATGACAGCTCTCCAAATTGAAAAATCCTGGCTACGGGCCTGAGGACGAGGACCTCAGTGGGGTGCAATGCCACAGAGTCCACCTGCCAAAGCATCTGTTTTCTCCATGGGAAATGATCTCTGTAATCTGGAGATGTGCTGTAATTCTAGGGGATCCCCAAGTCCCACCAGGAGGCTGGCATCCCTATATGTCCCCCCAGCTCTCTAAAACCCAGGGATTGCCAGGCTGGGGATGCCCATCTCAAGGTTGGTTGAAGCAACCTA